TTAACTTTTCACCCATATAAACTCCTTTCTGCTGACCCATGCTGACTGCACACTCAAGCAGGACTTTCCTTCCATGACTTAAAATTCCTATCCTAGCTTCCAGTCTTCTCCCATTAGTCTTTCGCTCTCTTCATAGATTTTTTTTAAACTGTGCTTTGTCAATACCTTATCTCTGTCACTATCCTTAGCCCTAAGTCTCATGAAGCACACAACAGTTCCACTGTCTTCCAATGTCCTGCTCATAGAAAACACTTCTTCAACATGGACTAAGGTGTATGCACAAAACCTTCTCAGGGAAGAGCACTCAATGGCTTGGTTTCTTCAAGGAATCATGTAGGCATCAGATTTCATCAGGAAGTCTTCACGAGCTCTTTGCTCCAGATGTGGTAAGCCCATAGAATATACTTTAAACACTGTTATTATTGTAAATTAACTTTTAAAAAGCAATTCAAGTTTTAAAGTTTTAAAAGCAAAGCATGACACCCATCACAAATGATTCCTTAAAATATGATCAAAATTGCATAACCCCATGGAACAACCTTAATATGATAAAAAAATAAAGAAAAAATTATAAAAGACTATTCAGGTCGGATAAAAAGGAGCAGCAGCTAATTCAAATGGCCCCCATTGATCAATGGTGGGACAGTTTGAGCATCTACAAAAGTGATGATGTAAAGGATTGAAGCAACTCAAACTGTATAAAGCCCATGAAATCAAAATGTTTACAATGATAACCTTTAGAGTTTCCTATGGAAGCAAAACAATATTCTGAGCTTGCCAAATGAAAGAAAAATTGTTTATGTTAACCAAAGAGTTGGAGAAAAAAACTTCACCAAAGACACTTTCCAAATAGGTAACAGGCAGAATGCTAAAATTAGACAACCCCAAGTTTGTAGCTCCTACTGAAATAATGTGTTTGCTTAATTTCTAAATATTAAAACTGGCCTGTGAATGATTGATGGGGTATCTGTATAGTACATGAGTCAGACTGATAACAACCACACTGATACATGTTAAGACCATCACCAAGAATGAAACAGACATCATCACCTCCTTGGTTGTCTCCCACGGTACATACCCTGAACCTGGATAGTACCACTTTAAAAGTATTCTTTGACCCCAAGGTGAATCTGCATCTAGTCAAACTTTTAGAGCTTAACCATCTCTTCAAATACTGCTACAGTGTTTCAGTCAGACAGGTGGGAAATTCTATAGGTCAAATATTCCAAATCCTTCAGCAAAAAACTACCAATTAAAAATGAGTGGGGATGAGGTTTTAGATGTTGAAAGACACTCAGGAGCACATAAACCAAATTGATATGCAACATCATCTCATTAAGATTTAAATAATCAAAGTATAAAAAGAAATTTGTGACAATGGGAATAAAATGAGCAAACACTGGGAATCAACTGATGCTAACAAAGTATGGTTAAATTCACTAGGTGTGGCAATATTAGATAATATTGTTGGGTAAAGGGTACTAGAGATTTTCTTTTTAATGACTCTAGGAAAATAAAAATAAGGTAGGGGTGTGTGTGTGTTTGTGTGTGTGTGTGTGTGTGTGAGAGAGAGAGAGAGAGAGAGAGAGAGAGAGAGAGAGAGAGAGGATGAAGATGATAGAATTGAAACTAGGGAGTTAAGAAAAGAAAGGTCATTATTCTACTGTCTGTATTTTTGCATTTATTTGGAAGCAATCATGTTTAACTGATTTTTGTTTTAAAATGTATTAGGGTGAGATGAAGCATATATACATATATATATATATATATATATATACACATATATATATATATGAGTGTGTTTATATATATATGTATACATACATACACAATCAATAAACCACTCAAAGAGAATATATTGAAATATATTCCTATACATCTATAATCCAGAGTCATCCTTGGTCCCTTCCTGCTTACTCCCAACTTTCTGCTCCTATGGAGGGAATCCTTATTCTTAATTCTATGTTTATATGAGCTATGTTTCATTTATACTTTAAAAATTATTCATATGCTTATTCTTACATGCTGTTTATTTCTTCTGCTTTTGAAGCTCATAAAAACGGAATCATGTCTTGCATATTGTTGACTTGTTTCTTTTTAAAACTTTTTAAACTTTTTAAAAGTTTCTTTTAAAGTAGATTTTATAAGTAAGTATGTGCATGTCTCTGTGTGTCTGTGTCTCTGTTTGGGTATGCACACATAAGAACAGGAGTCTGAGGAGGCCAGACGAGGGCGGGCGGTGCATCTCTTGGAGTTAGAGTTACAGGTGGTTGGGAGCCAGAACTTAGATCCTGGGAACCAAATCTGGGTCCTCTGAAAGAACAGTGTACATTCTTAACTGCTAAACCAACTCTCCAGTCCCTTGATTTGTTTCTTTGCCCAGCATTAAACTTGAAATGATGTGTGCTGATGCTTTCAGCGGTGGTCATTTCCTTTTCTGTTGTAGTGTCGCCTTGTGTCTGTATACCAAGGACTTTTAAAGCATTCTATGGTTGGTGGACATGTGAATTATTTCTAGTGCTGTATAAAGATTCCTGTGCACATTTCCTGATGCTTCTATAGAAGACTCTTTAATATGTTTGTGTCTGCACCTGCTTTGTAGGATAACGCATATAAAAAGTTGCACAACGGCAAACTATGCTCTGCATTGATGGCGGTACAAACACATGCTTCTGATAATACTCTGATCAATACTCAAGAATTTCCTTCTCCATCCTTCACCTGTTCACATTTTTTTTTTTTTGCCAGCATGGCAAAGAGTAAAATGTTACCTTATCGGAATTGCCATATTACTAATTGAATGTTAGTATCTTTTCACATGCGGGTTGGTCTCCCTTTGTGAATGAAAAAAAAAATTCCTTTTATTCTACTGAGTTGTTTCTCTTTTTCGTGTTGATCTGGAGGATTTCTGTATTGGTTCTGCATATTAACCTTTTGTAGTTATTTGTAAAAGTAATGATTTTGGGACTCACTTTCTTGTTCTTTCTTGGCTCACTCTACAAACCAAGTATTGCAATAATCTCACACTCTTTCCCCTTATTAATCTTCCCCCACATGAGGGTCAGGTAGCCTACCTCCTGTTGTCCCTAACAGCTTTGCGATTTGGGCCTTTTGAGTGTAATCTTTAATGCAGCTGGAATCCCCATCTTTGCTATTTGTGAGGCAGGCCCTTATTTTATTTTTTTTCCAATGTGGATAGCCAATTGACCCAGAATCATTTATTGAAAAGTTCATTCTTTGCCCACTGCCCTGTAATACTGGCTCAGTCATAAATCAAACCTCTATACGTCTGGGTCTGCTTTTGGGCTTTAGAAAATGGACTGGATTTCCATCATCCAGGAGGAAAAAAAATAGTAAGTAGAACAATCCCACTTTGGCAATTTCCTGTGTCTTTCAAACCTAGACTGAGTTCTTTCTCAACTTATATGACTTCAGTCAGTCACCTTCAAAACCATTATTCCTAGTCTCTCTGGGTTCCCCAACACAGCACGTTAGCAAGTTCTTTACATAAAAACCAAAGCGGTCTCATATGGAAACAATATGAGAAACATTTTCAGCTCACCTAGTTAGACACTAGACCACTCTAAGCTGCAGGTTGGCATTAATCTCCATAGTGCCCAGCATGTGACAGAAACTAAGTAAATCTAATTTCCTTATGCGATTTCATATCGATGAACGAGGAAGTGCTGAGCTGCCTCCTGACATGTCCAAATCGTGTTCAACAATTGCATCTATTTTACTTTTTTCAAAAAAAAATGTATGGCCTAGAAACTTGTCTAAATCATATAAAGATAAGGGTTCCAGCTCACTGTTTTATCATTTTTAAAGCCTGTCTTAAAATATAATCATATAAAGATCTGATTACTGAAGAAAGTCAAGCATCCCTGTTTGGCTGGAAAAAAATAACACCAAGAAGACAAAACAAAGCAACCGAGTTCTGTTCAATAAATGTTTTTATCCTTGTCTTTTATCAGCCGGGCAAGGACACCAACTTAGGGACATTTTCTTCCTCATCTTATTGTACATTTCGTATTGTCTCTTTTTGAGCTAGAATATAAAAGTCTTCTGCAGGCAACTTCAGGGACCAATTAACTCCATTAAATTATATCCAGTTATGTAGTGAACTGAACCGCTGCTCGTCTGGGGCTGTCTAGAGCTGAGACAATTAGGAGATGGAGAGAAACAGAAAGGGAGATTGATTTTATGTGTCACTGAAGCACACTGCAACAATATGCCAGCGTGACTTTCAAAATGGCCTTAAAATATTCCAAACTCAGGGAGTTTCCTTGCTCCTGAGTGGGAGTTGACAGACTGTCTGGCAGCATTAGAAAAGGCAGGGAGAAGCTGATGTCTATATTGTGTCCTCTAATAACATTCTTCCTCTTTTTGGCATCTTTCCCTTAGAAGGACCCGCCAGTTTGGTGTGTGTGTGTGTGTGTGTGTGTGTGTGTGTGTGTGTCTACGCAAAGAGTATGGTTTCACATCTGGGAAAACCAAACCAAAGGACACTAACCTTCCCAAGGTCACTTAGAAAATTAGTGCTGTGACCTGGTGTGTGGGTGGAACAGAACCCAGGTGTCCTGGCTGCAGCTTTGTGGTTGGACATTAAAGCATTTTCCTTTGTGGGGAGAAAAAAAATCACCCGTCCGGGAATTTGGGGGAAGTGAGAGATTAATCAGATTTCCTTTTTCCCCCTTTCCCTCCCTCCCCCACTTACGAAGATTAAAAACTCGGGAAAGCTATAGGTGCCTTCTCGACAGTTCTTAAGCAGGGTCTACCAAACCTACTCCCACCCTGGACACAAAGCGATCGCCGCTCCCAGAGATTCTGTGCGTTCTCTTAAGAGCCTAGGAGGTGAGGAGTGGTGGAAAGTCAGCCCTCACCTCCAGCGGGTCCCGGGCTCGGCGGCGCCCAAGCCCCGCCCCCGGCCGCCCTTCCCCCGCGGCCTCGGCAGCCAGCCCCTCTCCCCTCTCGCTGTCGGGCGCACCCACCCCAGATGCCGCCTGGCACCGAGCGCAGCCGCCGCCGCCGCCGCCGTACTTTCCACTTGTATTGATCACTCCTAGCTGGGCTCAGCCTGCTCCCGGAGCGCAGCGCGGCCAGAGCGCCAGCCCTTGGCAGCTCAGGCACAGTCGGGCTCCCAGAGGAAACTCCTTGGGAGCGCCCTGTCCGGGGTGTCCTCTGCGCTCTGCAGTGTCTTTCTGTCTGCCTGGAAGGAGGAGGAGGAGAAGGAGGAGGAGGAGGAAGAGCAGAAGGAGGAGGTGGAGGAGGAGGACGTCGTCTGGTCCCGGTTGGGAGGTGGAGCAGTGGCAGCAGCAGCCGCCGAGGCAGCCGCCGCCGCCGCCTCCGGAAAGGGAGAGGCAGGAGAGATCGGGACTTGGAAAACCCAAAGTGTCGGCGACCCTGCACGGCAGGCTTCCTTCCAGCTTCATGGGCAAAGTGTGGAAACAACAGATGTACCCTCAGTACGCCACCTATTACTACCCCCAGTATCTGCAAGCCAAGGTAAGGAGGTACGGGGAAGGGTCGCCAAAGGAGGGGACCGAGGAGGCGCACGCTGGCTCAGGCTGGGGAGGGGCGCACGGCGACCCTGCCGCCTCCGGGCGCAAGTGCTGGGGTTGCTAACTATAGCGCTGGCCTGGGCAGAGCTGGGCTGCGCGCGGGGCGGCGGCTTCCCGGGGAGCCGATCGCGGCGATCGGGTTACAGAGAGTAGCGGTGGGGGAGCGACTAGACAGGAAAGGACCGCCGGCCCCTTCCTGGCCAGCGAGGAGGGAAGGGTCTCGCGGCCTCGCGGCGCCCCCTCGTCCAGCCGGGGGTTGGCGGCGGGCCGACGCTTGCGGCCAGCGGCGGGACCTGCTGGTGGCACGGCTTTCAGACCTCTCCAGGGCCTCGCCCTACGGGCAGTAACTGTGGGGTCCCCGTGAGTGGCGCGCAGCCCCCCGCCCCGCCCCGCCCCGCCCCGCCCGGCAGGACTACCCTCCAGCTCCAGCGCGCGCGTCGAATGTGGCCGGAGGGGGCCAGGACCGTCTCCTCCCCGCCTCGGGCCCTGTGCGCCCGCCCCTCGCCTCTGATCTTTGTGCGGTGTGGCACTTCACCTGGTTACTGATTTCCACTTTTACGCTGGTGTTTTGGGTAGAGAAGTGGCCAAAGTTCACTCTGCATTCATTGATGTCCCCTTTAATCTTCTCTGAAGCCTTTACATGGGAGGGACAATGGACAGATTTCGATGCGTAGAAAGAAGTGACTTTGTATTTACTTTTCTTTTTCTTTTTTTTTAAACTGCCTTACGTGTTTACCCTAGAGTGATTTCCAATCCTGCTCAAAAGTGGCACACTCTTGGGTAAGGACCGCTGATGACATGTAGGCAGTCGAATTGTGGCTGGCTTTCCAGGGACCCTGGGTACTTTGTTAATGGGCCTATGCTAATTTTACAACAGTTTGATGTCTCCTAAGCTAATTTTAAAAATTATTAAGGTTCACGAAAAGTGCCTCTTACCGTCCTGGAATCATCTGCCACAATTAGGGAAGGCAGAAGGTGACAGTGGGTATAGCAGCCTCCTTCAGCTGTTAACACCAAGCATGTCCTTCTAGATCACAAAAGAATCAGGTATGGATGTAGTGTTTGAACTTTCTTTAGGAGATTGCTTGCTGGCAGATGGTCATTGCTGACCTGGTACCAAGAATCTCTGCTTCAACCTTGAAAGCGTTTTTTCTTCCTCTCAATGTGTGTGGTCCATGTTGCCCCATCCCTACAACGTAGCTCAGTGTTTGTCCATGTAAAAAGGACTCGTCAGCAGAGGCCAGCAATTTCCCAGCACCCAAAGGCCTCCTTGCTGCTCTCCTGATTCGCTACTTACCTTTGATCACCAGGGATCTGTAAGGTGCTAGCAACTGCCAGAGCACCAGGGTTCATCTCCATGTGGTTGGCATGCCATTGTTTTAAGAACTTGAGGGAGATATTGTGTGTGTGTGTGTGTGTGTGTGTGTGTGTGTGTGTGTGCTGTTCAAAGACATTTTGTAATCAATGTGCTACCTTTTAGGTGTGTTATATATTTGATGCACTCATCTAAATTATGCAGTATTTGGGTACCTGAAGGACAAGCCTATTCAACACTTAACTCCATGAATAATAAATACACACATTCAGGTGAAGAAGGGGGGGAGAGCCATGTTTATATGAAACATTTACCTTAGTAATTTTTATGTACCATTAGTAAGTTAGAAACCAACTACATAGCGTTTAATACAGCTAATGCAATGCCATTTGGCTTTTTTTCCCTGTAAATAATTGAAGAGAGAGACAAACGGCAAAAGCCTGCTGGAGTAATTAGGGCTGGATCCCAGGAAGCTTTAGGGCCCATTTTCTGAAAGTGTGCTTCCTGCATAAAGCATTTAATATTGATTTGTGTTACAGTAAATGACAGTCTCCAAACATATTTTGCTGTTTCTCCTATGAAATTTGAAATCTTATTACTCTGAATCCCTTTGTTTCAGGAGATAGGTGCGTCCTCGCTTGACCTATATAATTCGGTGTTTTAAAAGTTTGGTAATTAAATCTAAACTCCCTATTGTGAAGGTGTCATAATTAGTTCAGAAAGGAGTGTCTCCAAAAATACAAAGGGACCGGATACAGATTCTAGATACCAGAGTCAGAGTCAGGGACACACATCCCCTTTTCTCCTTCCTGTAGTCATTGGTAAGAGGGTAGGTGGGTGTGAGTTATTAAGAAAGATGGAGACTTTATTTGACTTTGGTTTAATAACAATCATAATTTACCTGAAGAGTTAATGAACTCATTGAGAATCTGTTGTCTACTGTGCTAATGCTTGCCTGTGTGTGTTCTGACCTTCCAGAAATAGAATACGTCACTCTCTGTAAAGTACACTGATGTGTTTGGGTAGTTCCAGATGTTGTGAACTTCTGTTTGAAAGCTGTGCAAAGACTAAGGAGTGGTAGGTTAGTTATTTAAAAATGTATTTTAACCTGAGATTTTAAAGTAGAAGTGGTTTTGTTGGATCATGAAAGAATAGATGGATTTGATGTTTTTCATCAGAGGACTAGGTCAATACCAATTTTAAAAAGTTCTTTAAAACAAATTTTATTAACACACTTTCAAAAGTTGCCTGTGTCGAATGCTTCTCTTGTTAATCCAATCAGAGTCTGTTTTGGCAAATTTATTTTAAAAGACACTCTCATAAAATGCCCCAATTCTTCATTTTGCAATCAAGAAAATAATATCTAGAGCCAACAACTACATCACTGTACATCATGGTTTGACAGAAAGAAAAGGTAATAGCATCTACACAGAGCATCCGGTTCACGTGAGGCTTCTGAAAAGAAAGCAGGCCTGGACAGATGTGAAATGTAAAGTGTCCATCATGCCTCAGCCTACAGTAACACCGAACTGGAGCACCCCATTTTACCCCATGGGGGTGGTTTTGTTTTGTTGGTTTTTATTTCTCAGTCAGTGTCCTCTTATTTCTACCTTATCACCTGGCAGTCAGCCTGAAGTAACTTTGATGTAACTTTGTAAACACAAGCACACATTGTTCTAAAGAATATTCCAGATGTTAAAATGACTTACTGGATAGCATGAAGAGTTAGATTTGTGCTACAGGTTTTTGCTGTTCAAAAAAAGAAAAAAGAAAGAAAGAAAGAAAGAAAGAAAGAAGGAAAGAAAGAAAGAAAGAAAGAAAGAAAGAAAGAAAGAAAGGAAAAGAAAGGAAAGGGAAAAGGAAGGAAAGGGAAAAGGAAGGAAAGGAGGGAATTTTGATTAGCATTTTAACTCGAAGATTTTTATGTACAAGTTGTTAGCCAGTGGCTATAGGAATTTCACTTCTGCACGGGCAGCTCTGGAGTGAATCATGGTTGATGTGTGTGAGAGAGACCAGAGCATAACACTACTGCTGAGGCAAATATTTAAATGTTTATGAGGATTTCACAAAATTCACTCCTTCTCTTTGGAAGAAAGAGAAGTATATGTTTTCCTTAATTTATATTGCTTGCTGGATAATTTGTACCCATTGAAGGCAACATGATACTTATAATCTTTATTCATATATCTTTAGTCTACAGTTTTCTAAAATATATCAGAAGCTTCCAGTCTGTGCATATGTTTTCTGTACTAATGAAATGTTTTGTATTAAAGGGATGATTGCTGGTGAAGGAAAATGATTTTATTTTAAGATGATTTTTGTAAAAATAGAGACCATAGGATATGTCTACACTCAGGTTCAAAATCTGAGAAATAACAAAGCAGTTTCGAATTCTACTAATAAAGGCTGCAGGGACCAAACAGTTCCGACCTCAGCCTCTTTCATACACTTAACCATTTCATTGGACTTTTAAACCGTTACTTATCTGTAGTCAATATATATTATGCCAAGCAATCTGACTGTTCTAGAAATCAAGATTGATCATGATTCTAGGTAAAAAAGTAGCAACTGTAACTAGGTAGATATGATGTACAAGGGCTCAAGCCTTGGGTGCTTTGAATGAGTCTTAAGACTTGCCTGCCATTACCAGGTAAGGAAAGGTCACTTAAATACATCAGCGGAAGTAATGCAGCATTTCACGCAGATGTGCTAACTTGATTTCCCTTGTAGGATATTTTGAGTGTCTAGACATGGCATCAAAGAATCAAGGTTACGGAAATGTTAAAAGTAAGGCTGTAACATAAAGCGACATCGTTGCACCCTTTCTTTCAGGTATCTTTAGAGTTTTGCAGAATGTAAATATTTACTAGCTCTGGGTTGAGAGGGAAACTTTAGGCTGCTAGAAAAGACAGGGGAAGATGTGTGAGGGAGGAGCACGTGTTTGCGCATCACTACGCTAGACACTCCTCCAATATCTGGCAGTGCTGAGGTGGAATTTAAATTCAAATATAGAGAATGTCCATGGAATACATTTTTAGGGCACCTTTACTAATATGTACTGTGACTGCCATTTGTCTAACGGTTTACTGAAACTCTAAAGTTACAGCCTAATAATAAAGTTATTATAAAAATGAAGTTATAACCTAATAGAAGTTTAAGTTATAGATCTCTTAGCTAAATAGAGAATCCCTCTTTTCTTTCCTTTCTTTTTACTTAAGAAATAATGTCCATGGAAGCAAATCATTTTTTTAAAATGTATCACATTATCCAATAAAGATGTATGAGAAAGGTCTGTCTAGAACGGAGAAGTTAAGTGTTCCATGGGAATGGTGGGAATGGCTAAGAGTTTGTTCCTGCTCATGAGGAAGAGTGATCCCTTACCTAGTTTGTTTTGCCCTGGACACTCAGAGTTTAACCGAGGTTTGTTTTCTGTAAGCACAGTGCCACAATCCCTTTAGAGTTCTGTCCTCAAAGACACAAGGACTTCCCTGGTTCCAGGCCCCTGATTTCTAAAACAGTAGGTGCTGAATAAATACTTGCTGGTGAACTAGTATTATTCATGCGAAAAAAAATAGAAAGAAAAAAGGAAGGAAAGGAATACTGTTTTATTGAGCTTTGTATTTTCGTAT